GAATTTTTTTTCCCTAACTTTTCGCCAACATCTGAGCCCGGCATCTTCAGAGGGCAGGAGCACAGACAGGAGCAGTTCTCTCTGTGCCCAGGATGATGTGATCCTTTTGTGGGTATTTATAGAGATCAGCGAGGGTACCTGAAGGGGGTGGGGTGGGGGGGTTTGGGTTAACGAGTGGCTGCTTGTTTTGGTGTCAGAATATGTGTGTATCTTCCTGGGGGTTAGGCAGGGTTTTTTTTTTCTATTGAGTTGTTAACAAGTGGCTGCTGAGGGTGATTAGCATGTTCCTGCCCTCTGAAGATGCCGGTCTCAGATGCTGGCGAAACGTTAGGAAACAAAACTTCCACAACACGGCCACACAGCCCAGAAGACCCACACCAGCCATCATATTCCGGCCGTAAAAGCCTTCGACAATACAACTTATTACCAAATCTCTCAAGTGATCTAGAAGGGTACTTCGACGGATGATATGGAGACAGCAAGGAGTCATACTTCCTCTGTTGATCTGAAAACAGCCATAAGGGTGTGCAGAATATTTCAGACTGGTACTGTTTGGAGTTTAAAAAACACCATTCTGAGCTCAAAACTTGGAACTTGTTTCATGTTTGAAGCAGGATATTACATACATTTTATAAGTATGGAATGGGCATTTCAAATTCATATGTTCAAAATATTTTGCATACTACTGATCATCAGGCTGTCCAGGGCAGCCTGAATCTCATGGCCTGCTCTGAAGCCAGTTTGAAGTAGGTTTCAGGGTTAGAATGTTCTGATCTTCAAACTTTTTATTTTTTATTTTTTATCATATTTATATAGCCGCCCATCTCACATAACAATTACTCTGGGCGGTACACAGCACTTAATTAAAAACAATAAATACAGGTAATCCCTGGGTTAAGAATGCCTGGTTTAAGGACGACCCATAGTTAAGAACAGAGTCTATTGCAGCAAAATTTGAGTTAAATACACAATGATTTGAATTAAATATTCAGTGGTTCAAGTTCATTACACAATACTACTTATACAGTATTATACAATAATATTGTTCCAGCTTACATACACATTCGATTTAAGGACAGACCTTGGGAATGGAACTCGTTCTTAAACTGTACATAAAAACAGTTGCAATTTAAAAAGACTACAAAAAGCACACAAAACAGAGAGAATGATATTAACCACAATAAGGGAGCCATCACAAAATCTATCCAGTTCCCTGGGACCCCCAGGCCTGACAACATAGCCAGGTCTTGAGGGACTTACGGAATACTAAGAGGGATGGAGCTAATCTCACTGCTGGGGGGAGAAGATTCCACAAGGTAGGCACCACGGCAAAGAAGGCCTACCTCCTGGGACCCACCAAATGTAATTCCCCAGCAGACGGGACCCATAGCATGCCTTCTCTGCCAGACCTGATGGGGTGGGCAGATGTAATTGGGGAGAGGCAATACATAACTTTTGTCAGGATTATTCTATTCCTGCAAGTTTGTAGATCAAAGGTTGATTGGCTTTGGTGGCTAACCCCAAGAAATTGCACTAATGACTGTCTCTGGCACTGCTCTCTTATTTTTAAAGTCTCCACTCTTACTGCTTTCATAAGCATATTAAAATATAACCTGCCAGGATATTAAGCAGGAGGAGGGAGGCCTTAAAGATGCACTAAAGGTCATGGGCACATTGGGAAGGTTGTGAAGGGCCCATTTTGGGAATTGTGCTTAGTCCTCGTCCTTTCTGCTTTGAGAAAGATGTCTTCAGCCAAGGCTTTTCAGACTTAATTGACTGTTTTCATGTACTATTTTTAACTGTTTCCATCTAGTATGAATTTTACTGAAAAATATTTTAAAATAAGTTGTTTTTCTTCCAGAACATTCCAGATGTAGATGATGAAGGATATAGCATTAAACCTAAAGACTGTCAGAATATCCTTTGTTGATAACTTATTATACATTATTTTAATATATAAAGCACTAAAGTGGTTTTATAAACCTTAAACATTCTGTTTGCAGTCATTGTGTATAATGATATTATTAATTAACTCAGCATTCTCAGAGTGTAGGTCTCAATTCCAAGAGGGCTGAAAGATAATGGATAGATGGTTGCTAAAGAGTGCTTTCCTTACAAGGTTGCCCTTTTGATGCAAAAGTATTCTGAATGCAAGGCAATCCAACAGTTCCACAGCCCTGTTATTTCTTTTTCTTTTTTTTAACACACCATTTTTCCTTTCTAAAAAAGGGTAATTATGCCTAGAGGGGTGAGGCTTCTATGCAAAACTCTGACTCTCATTCTGCAGAGGCAATTATTACAGCCTGGGGAAGAGAAGAAGGGCTGTGAGGAAGCAGCAATTACGTGAGTATTGGGAGGGATAGCCAGTGCTAAGCTGGAAGGGACAGAATAGATGTGCTGTACTGTTATCTCAGTGCAACTATACTGACTGTGAGAGTGCTAAAAGAAGCTTACAGCCTGCCAATGTTTTTCAAGCTGTAGCATTTTAAGAGGAGTTTTATGGAAAGCTGATTTAAGGTAATAAGATATCAGGCTTTCCTTTCCATGATATATGGACTGCGATTTAATTATTAAATATAAGGAGTATATTTATTTCTTGCTCAGCCCTAACCCCAATGAGATTCGTTCATTCACTGGATTGGGATATATTTATCACAGCACTGTTTGAGAACCCTGCATTAATTGATCAATCAGCCATTTCCTTAACTGCAAATAACATGCCAAAGAAAACCACTTCTATTCCTCAAGTGATTCTGACTCTGAAGATGATGAACCAAGAAAGTTTCGTGTAGAAATCAAACCTGTGCACTCAGACTGTAGTTCTCATTATACAGTGCCTTCTTTGGATGAATTAAAAGAATCAATAGGAAACATCACACTTTCACCAGCTATATCTGTAAGTAAACTTTGCACACTCTTTAGTATAGTGGGACAATATACCATGATTAATACTTTCTTAGGAATGTTAACTCATTTAGCACAAATATTTTTAATATGTTTTAGAATGTAGTATTAAGCTTTTTAGAGAAAGAATGAAGCAGTTACATTCAAGGAACATATATGAATACAGATAGGGAGTGAGAAAAACAGAACATCAAAGGAAAGAAACCAGCTGAGTAGGTTAGCTTCAGTTTACAAAGGAGTACCCTAATCTAGTATTTGAAGCTATTTTCTACAAACCTGTGCAGCCCTGTATCATATACCTGTTCAGTAAGCACAAATAGTATTTTTAGCTCAGAGTGGCATCATTTGTACATTGAAATCAGGTGTTTTAGTTACGTTCAGCTAGAGAGAGATTTGAATTATTTGTGACATGTGAGAGCTAGAAATTTGTCAGTTAAGTCCTATCCATTGTCTGATGCAAAGTAATATTTTTTGTTGGACTCCTTTATTCATACTATCTGAAATGTGAGAAACAAGAAAAGTTTCTTCAGTATAGCCAGTCACAGAAAGTTTACTAAGGATAGCCTGCAATGTGTAGGGATAATTCTGAGTAACACAGCAAATCTTTTCCCAATCTGAATTTGTTTCAAGATGGTGGAAGTGAAATCATTCCCATATTTCACTCCCATTGTCCATTGACTTTTGTTCTGTTGCAGTTATGAGAAACTCTCCCAGATGTGTAGGGGAAAGAGATTTAACTTGTCTGTTTGAAGATATTTCAAGTTAGTCCATAGATTCCGATTGATTGATTGATGAATACTTGTATACAATCTAATCAAACATTTCTAGTAGTTTACAATAATATATTCAAAAACTCCATAAAAGCTCAACATTATTTTTTTTTAAAATGGCGCTGACTACTTTATTATAACGTTCAATTTTATATAAATTGTGGGAACATCATGATAGTTTAGATTCTAGAGGCCCAAATTTACTGCTGGATGGATACAATCTAATCAAACATTTCTAGTAGTTTACAATAATATATTCAAAAACTCCATAAAAGCTCAACATTATTTTTTTTTAAAATGGCGCTGACTACTTTATTATAACGTTCAATTTTATATAAATTGTGGGAACATCATGATAGTTTAGATTCTAGAGGCCCAAATTTACTGCTGGATGGATAGTTGCAACTTTAAACATACACTATGCTGGGGGACACTTACAAAATGCAATCAAACAAAAAGTGGTACTATCAGGTCATTGGATTTTTTTTTTAAAAAATTGCCCTTTAAAATAATACAGTTATTTTTAAACTTTATTTTTATTAACACTGTAGCTTGATACTTCAGCCTTGGAAGTTAAAAAAGAATGTCATTTTGTACATATAACAGGTACAAAACTGTGTAATTATGTTTTGCTTATTTTATCTCCTATGCTAACAGAGACATAGTCTTGTAAGTACTAAATCATATTTAATTAGCAGTATCATACTGCTTAATATTAAGGAAGTGATGCAGCTAGAATATTGTAACTGATTTTATATACTGTAATGTTTTGTGATTGTAATAGCAGTTCATTCAAAGCTGCGAGTTAAGTTTATGCCATGAAAATTGTAAAATTGTTTGCCTGGCAATAACCAATTAACTATAAGACAGACACTAAAATCCTAAGTGTAATTAAAAAAAAAATGTTTCTGATTTTGTCAAAAGGTAAAGAAAAAGGAATATTGTGATAAATTTCCATGTTGCCAGATTTCCTTAAAATATGAAGTCGTCAGCCTTTTCAGACCTAGAATCTAATTAGCCTCATACCATAAGAACAAGATCTGGTTGTATTCCTCTTTAACACCAGAAGCCAACAATTTTCTTGCTAATGTCAGTGTTCTACCATGATGAATTACCATTTTCTTCCCAGGCACGACCTATAAAAGATGGAACAACATCTGTGTAATAGCACTGGCCTTCTGTGACATTCCTGATGTCTCTTTAAGCTCAGTATGATTTGAACAGTGGATTATGCCATTCTTCTTATCTTAGAGCTGAAAAGTAGTTCTGCCTAACAAGTCTAAACCTAAAAAAAAAAAAAAAAAGAAATCCCAGGTCTTCCCCAAATTAAAGCTAGGATGGGGCTTGTTTACAACCTGCATTTCCAAGGCAGCTTTTAGCGGTGATTTTCCTTACTTTCGGGAGGTCATGACAGGCACCTAACCTTAGGCAGTATGGTTCCAGTAATCAATATTCATTTTTGATTGGCCATGCAGTAATTAATATTTCATATCAAGAGAGTGAATTGGTGTATCAATTTCATATAAACTACTGTTGTGATTTATTTTGTTTATCTAGGTCTTTTCCAAACATTTAGTTTCTTATTAGCTAGGTGCACATTCTTCATGATAGTTTCAGAATTTGGAGCACCATGCAGAGGCTGTTTGAAACCACATTTATATAGCTACTGTTATAAATGAAGGTTGTTTGAATAATTGGCTTCCACTATAGAGTGACACCTGTTATTTGAATAATCTATGATTATTTTTTTAATTATTATTTAGAAAGGTATATTAGCCAGCCTCACCAACTCAGATAAGAAAAACAGGGAGGACTTCTATAGTAATGTCAAGCAACTAGGCTGGGGTGATTGTATTGCATAAAACAGTTATAAGGTACTGTAATGATGCCATCTCATGTTCCAAATTTAAGACCCTAAACATTTACCCTAGATATTTTATTTATATCTGTCATTCATTTTGCTACGGCTAATATCTGAAGTTGTCTTTGGAATATTTTCCTGCCTGCAACTTCTCCCTTAATTTACAAAGAAAATAATATGTGTTTACTAAACTTTGTCTTTTCATTACTTTACATTTAGGCACAAATGAACCGGAATGCATCTAGTAAGTTTGTCTGAATTTCTGACTATCAGTGATTTTTTCTTATGTTTACATTAGATTAAATGTCCTTTTTATAAAAATAGACTTGTGCAATCCACGTTTTTTTATGTAAAAATGTATATATAGTGTGAGTACTAGGTAATCTGTTTTCTTCTGTATTGAAAGTACTCAAAGCAGTCTTTTTTCCAAGTAAGCAACTTTAAAAGACTGTATCTTTGGCCACTTGACCAAAATACAAATATGTATCCTTAATACAATATTTGTTAATGAAGTGGCACTGTCATATTAGGTGATGTAAAGGGAACTTAGAAAAATTCTGACACTAGAATATATATTGCACAATAAATTTTTATGTCTGTATCAAAAGAGAGTCGCCTTCAAGTTATGATGAATTAATATTTATAGCGCTTTTAACATGCAGATAACTACATGTATTTCTTCAAGTGGTTTTCTTAGAGCCCTGCAGGCTGTATCTGCTAAAAGAATTAGTCTTCATTAGAACAGCAGAGAGAACTGATAAGAACAAACCTATACATTTTAAATCTATATTCCTACATACTCAAAGGGTAAAAATCCATTCCTGTGTACAGCCAAACTAGACAGGACATTGAAATCTATGATTTGATCACCAAACTGTTGCTGAGATGGTACATTCAGATCAAGGTGTAGCCTGAGGGAGAGGATTGTATTGTTTTCTTCATTGTTCTTTGTTGCTGCTATTTTCCCTAGTTGGTGGGCAAGGGAAGCACTTTTTAATTAAAACAAGTAGGGAAAGCATACAGGGCATGGCTTCTAGAATCCTTTCCAACTCTTTCTAACACCAGTGGCCATAGAAGCCATCTTCTTTTCCCCCTAGGTAACCAAGTAACATGTTGCAGGGGCTAAGCAAGGTGCCTTGCATGCATGTTTCCTGTGTGTGTTGTATGTGTGAGTGTCTAACTCTCCACTCATGTCATGTTTTTTGTATGTGTGCACTGAGAAGCACAAGGCAGGCTGCATATGCTCTGCTCTGGGATACATGAGCAGGAGGGAGGGGCCTTAAAATGGAGGAGTCGCCAATATTCCAAGTCACTGCCCAACTACCTCTCCCATAAGAGTGCATTGGGGATTTTTTTTTCTAGAATGCTTTTCTCCATAACCCCATTTCAAACTCCATCACCAGCCCATTTTCAGACTCAAACTTTCCTTCGTTAGTTTCTCCCATGACACCAAATTTGGTTCCATTTTGTTCTGGTTTTGGAGAGTTATCCTACTGGTTGATAGACATATTGTAGTCCTGAGCCCCTTTCCACAATCTATTTACAACATTCTGTTGAGTTGGAAAGAATGGCTAAGTAGGGAAGGCATATAGAGCATGACTTACAGAATTTTTTTCCAATTCATTAATAATACTCCCCTCAGAGTCATGTGATCAGGAAGGATGAAGGAGGATGGCTTACAAAGAAAGATTTGACAAGATTCCAATTCATTCCACAAGTGCGTCTCCTATAAGGATGTCCAGAGGGTGGGAATTTTTTTCTCCAGAATCCCTAATCAGATTTGGCCCATTTTTGAACTCACTATTTCTCTTGCTGACTTCTCCCCTGCTCCCCCAGTCAAATTTAATCAAGTTCTATTCAGTTTTCAGAAAGTTACTGTACTGATGGACTGACATAATTCTAAGCTTCTTTATATAATTTATTTCCAGCATTCTGTTAGATTGAAAAGAATAACAATGGCACAAGAGGAAAGGAAAACCTAATCTAAATGCCCCTCTCCTACTTCTGCTCATTTTTTAAAAATATTCAAATTCTGGAAAGTTGCATCTCATCTCATTTACACCCTGTTCAGTATATTACCTATATGTTGAATTCCCAGGAAAAAAAAGTTTATTTCAACATAGTAATTTAAGACAATTCTTTTTCCTTTTCCAGATGTTAGTTTCCTAACTGTTAATTACTTCACTGCTAAAAATCAATTTGTTGCCATTTTGATATATGATGTGGGAAGGGAATTGTTAAGAATTGATTCTTTCCTCAGGAGCTGTTGGGGCTGTTGGCATTGTAATTCAGCAATATCTGAAGAGCCAAAGATTTTAGATGCTTTCTGTTCTTGTAAGGAAGGGGGGACTACTGATTCAGCAATCTGGAGGATTGTCCCTGTCTTATATGAAGACAGATTCAACCTAAAATTCAAAGCTTTAGTTTAGATTAATATATAGGATAAGTTGC